CATGTCTTATCCAGGCAACTCTCCAAGGGGCAGGAATCTGTGACCTTATCCTGGCTAGGATTGCCTGTTTTATTCATTTCTTTTCCTCTTACTCTGCTTCAGATTGCAGAGGGTCTCCAGCCGCTGGTCCTCTGGCATCATGGTATGGCCAGGTGGTGTGTGAGAATCTGGCAGGTTTCGCAGCCGCTCCATCTGTCTGCGCCACAGCTCCTTCCTCTCCAGCAGGCTGCAAGGCAAAGGAGAGCACATGTCAGCACATCTGGCAGGAGAGGTGGCCCAGGGACACAGGCAGAGACCCTTCAAAACCCACTAGTCTCCATGTTACTGCCTGAGGAACTACAGAGACCCATGTGCCAGCACGTATCTTCTCCATGGAGGACACACCTGGGTTCAGCTCACACGTGGACTAGCAAACATGCTCCACATGCACCAAAAGGCTGCTGGAAGAGATGCACTGAGGCTGACCTGAGCTCCTTGGAGACAAGGGCTGCTGCTCCTCACTCCTGACTCACTGAGTCCTTGCAAAACCATCAAGTTGGACAGAGTAGCTCACAGCCAGGGATGCTGGCAGAGAACAGCACAGCCAAAAGACTGACACCATGGTCAGTCCTAGGACATGGTCACCCAGGAACTGTTTTCCTTGCAGCACTTCAAAATGCACAGCACTAGTTGGATGTTCCTCAGACCAAGGAAGGATGGTCCAAAGCAGGATGAACACTTGTAAGGCACAGTGAGCTCTCTGCCTCTCCAAAACCAGACTTTTTAATGCCGAAGCTGTGTCATGTGGAGTGAGGCTCACAAAGGGGCAGGGACACATTTCCCAAGACACATGGAGCATCTCCATGTCAGCATTATCATACAACAGCAAGCAAGGGAGGAAGAGTCAAAATTCCTTCTAAGCCCAGCCTCACTGGCCATGGAATGCTCATTAAGTCAGGAAAGCAGGAGGGACAGTGTTGATTCCCCAGGCCACAGTAAATCACACTGCTGCACACGGCGAGCGCCTCTCTCCCTAGCCCCATCTCTCTATGCAGAAGCTGAGGACGTGGTGAAAGCTCTTACAGACAGCTTCGTGGAGCAGAGAGGGGCATACATACTACTGGGGGACGTGACCCTTTTGCTTGGTGTTGTACTCCTCCTGCTCCCGGCGCTTTTGTTCCAGCAGCTCGGACAGTGCCTGCAGGGACGGGGAGCGCCGCAGCGGGGCCCGCTTGGCATTGAGGGCGTTGTGCTTGATGAAGTCAGTCGTCCTGCCCTCCACCTGGATTGGGAAGAAGAGAGAACGAGGCATGAAGGGCCAGCTGAGCACACACACGCAGCCACGAGGGAAAAAGCAAAGAGGCACTGCACAAGATACTGAATTGCAGATGTACAACAGCAGGACAGGCTCATCTCAGCTCATCTCAGTGTGCAGCCACAGACAGGCAGGAGCTAAGCCTAAATCTGACCTCTTTAAGGTCCCTAAGCTGACCCCATCCCTTCAGAGCCAGAAGTACGGAAAAAGACGGGCTTGACACAGTCCCCACTGCTCCTACTGGTGCATTTTGAGGGCAGAGGAAAAACTGGTCAGGCATTCACAGAACAGGAACTTCGCTAGTCCTTGGGGCTTTTCCCCAGAGACAGCATCTCTGTCACAGCTCCTTTGCTGGACAAGACAAAAGAGAATGTGGCTACGTTTGCATTTAATGTTTTCTTGGTTTTCCTCATTAGGAGTTCATGCCCTGTTTAATTAGGTCACTTCACAGCACTTGGGAACCAACAAATCAACAACCCCATGCTTACCAAGGAAAGAGGACATGAGTTATGGAGCAGTTCAGGACCACCCAAACAGACTGCCTGAAAGGTCTAACTTTCAATGCTGATGAATGAGGACGAAGCCAGAAGCATTAGCAATCCTTGAACACCCATCTAACCACCCCAGTGACCAAACCCTGTTCCTTCCCTTCAGCCAGGAACAGTATTTACAGATCTCCCTATTCACACAGCACATCTGACCCAATGCCTTAGAAGAACACACAAGGAGTTCAAAGGAGGAGCAATGGATGAATGACAGAAACTCCTGGGACACACAAGACCCAGAAATCCCTTGAATGGATGCAGTTAGTGTGTGACTCACCTTGGTTTCAGCACTCTGTTCCTCTGGAACCTCAGTGTCTGCTCCTGCTTTTGCTCTGACAGGTCCTGGGGAGAGTGATCTGCACGGCTTGACCCCAGGGCCACAGCGAGAATATGCCCTCAATAATTTCATAGCCTCAGGATTTGGAGGTGGGGAGCTCTCCTGGGAAAGGCAAGAAAAGATCCACTAGTGGAGAGAGGCTGGAGCAAAGAAAAACCACGTTTGGGTGGTCAGCCACAAGCTCAGCCACAGGTTCCAGCAGGTACACTGGCAGCACATGCTTTCTGCCACAGCTTTTATAGAAATTCTTGGGGGAACACAATCTGTGGTCAGCCAGCAAAGGCCAAACAGCAACAGATTCAGATCTAGCAACCAAACTTTGTAAAGAATCACTTAAAAAGGAAGGGAAAACTACAGATTGAATGCATACGCAGCATTGAGTGGAGAGACCCTCTTTACTGACTAATCTGGCAGGCATGAAAGGAGAGCAACACCAGAAAACCCAAGAGAGATACCTACTGGAGTGAGGGACAAGCTAAATCCATGGACACTCCATACTGACAGTGATAACAGCTCCACAAAAACTAGCAATCTTCCTGTGAAAAGGGTAAATGGCAGTGTGGGGTAAGTGCTGAAATGTGGGAGACACAAGGGAGAGACACATCTCCCCTGCCAGAGACCTTGAACTCCTAGAAGAAGTCACCCCACCTCCACGGATCCAGAGGTGACCTGCCACAGTGAGCTTTAACGAAGTGGCACAGGTAGGCAATAGGCTGACTGCTGAGGTGCTGCTCTCAAGTGCTGCTCTGCTCAGCACCTCAAATCTGTGGTTGTATCACTCTAGACAGAAAAAGGAGCAGAGACTGAAAGAGTCTGGTGGAATTGCATCTGAGGGGCATCTTCAAAGGCCATGGTTAGCACTGGCACAAGGTCACACTACTTGAGGTCTAGCAGGTGGTCTGGGACTACCTCAGACAGTCTTGTTGCAAACAAGCTCTGAAAACTGAAAGTCAACACTGTGGCAAGTGGGTGACCTTATGATAAATGCAACTAGGGCACTGCTCTGCTCTTGGAAGTGACGAAAACTGCACAGGACAGACCCCAGATCTTTATAGGTACCCAGGATCTCAGCTGCTCTCTGGGCTGAACTGCAGACCCTCGGAGCAGATTCCTTCTTGCCTGGCTTGTTTAGCCAGGCAGAGCTGCACACAGACAGTGGGATCAGGCAGTCACATTGGTGGGTTTGATGTAAGGAGCAGGGGATGCGATGCCTTCAGCACTGATGCTCCGAAGATGATCACTCTCGTTTCAACAGGAGCCAGGAGACCTGGATCTCTCTGTTAAGTTAATGAGAAGTGCCTTTACCCAGCATGGCTGGCTCAAAGTCGAGTAAGTGTGTGATCTCAGGAGTGTGCCAGCAGAGTGCAATGTGTCCCATGTCCCTCAACGGGAGCACTGGGACTGCCAGAGCCCCTTCCAAGGCAGCTGCTATAGTTAACAGTCTCAGAAACGAAACTCTGCATTAGTCATCAAAATCTAACAGAATCAAACTCTGAGCAGCAGCAGCAGCTCCACAGAAGATGGAGATCCTTCAAAGGGAACACCTCAGCTCCAGGAGAGTCACAGCAACAGTTAAGGCAAGGTGAGTCAGAGCCAGACTGCCTGTCACTTCTCTGGAGGAATCCACAGAGCACAAGTGATGCACCACGCAGAAACTGCCTGCGCAGAGACCACCCCCTTTCCCCAAAACAAAGGAAGGAATGATCTCAATCTTCCTCGGATTTGTCAAACAAGAGCGTAGGCTCATGTTCCTGAAGCACAGGTGGGTTTGCTCCCATGTGTGGAAGGGTCACAGATATCAGAAAGGTCGGTGGCACACCAGGAAGAAGGGATATGGTATTTGGGACCACTGGCTTGGGAATCATCTTGCCAATTTTTGCAGTTGATGTCAATACACATCATTTTACTGTCAAAAGCTGGCCACAGATGAAAGGGAAACAACACAGACAAGAGGAGGAACTTGAAGGCTCCAACTCAGTGAGAGAGTACAGAGGATTGGAGGTGTATGCACCCTCACAGGCTGTGCTATCTATGAGGCCTCCACCTTAACTGCCTGGAGATGTGTGTGTGCTCCCACTGCACAGTGGTGATTCACCAGGACGATCGCTTGGAGAAGCATTTGAAGATACACAGCCCACTGTGTACCCACAGTGTGGATAGAGTTAGACTGAGGCTAGACACAGCCTGCAGACTGACCTCTGAGGACCACAATCCATGGGGCAAGATGCCACAGCCTTTTGGCACAAACCCCAGAGTAGTACTGCCCCAAAAACAGGGAAGCTGAAAATCCAGCTGGGAGCATCCCTAGGCAGGGAATATGGCTGCAAGGGGGAACCACTTGGAACCCACCATACAGGTGTGATGAGATTTCCCTCCTGGCCACCTCCCCTGCCTGGGGGGCTGCTTGGCCAGACAGGACAGGGATTAATGAAGCAATCACTCTGTGGAACCAAACCACACACTCTCACTCAGCACACAGCCTTGCTGCCACATCTGCCTGCTGTGCTTCAGCACTGAGATGCCTCCAGATCTGTAGGTTCTGGGATTCCCTGGTCTCCATTGTCCCACCATCCCTCATGGCTGAACCACATTCAGTTCAAGATCTCCATGGGTACTGACCTGCAGCTTGGCCTTCACCTTTGACTCTACATTTTCATATTTCTGGGATTTCCACAGAGCTTTCACAGGCTTGGGCTGGCTGTGTTCCTGGGCTTGCTCCCTCTCTTTGCACTTCTTCTGAATCTCCCTTATCCGCCTCACATTTTCCTTCACATAGTCCTTGGATTCTTTCCCTGCACAGCAAGGGGAGACACACCTTCACCCCTCAAACACTGCCAAGGGGCACAGGCTCTCTGAGCACCAGTCTCTGTCTCCAAAACTGGCCAAACAGCCCACAGAACCAGCAAGCTCTCCCCTCTCCTGCTGGCTGCACCATCTGTGCATCCTTCCCATGTTAGACGCACTCTCCCAGATTGACTCTTCTGCCAGAGGATCCCACAGTGCCCAGATGAGCATGAGCACAGGTATGTGAACACTGCTGGTGTTTACAGACTCCCTTGTTCTCAGAGCATGTGGCACACTTGTCCCAGTTTGGACAATGCCAGGCAAGCCATGCCAGCATCCTCTCAAGAGCAAGGTCAATTCCCAGTTCAGCATCCCATGGTGTTTCTGAAGCAGACAGGGCTGGTTAATGGCAGCTGCAGAGCCTTAAAGCTGTTCCTGGTTTCAGGTCAGACATTGTCCCACAATCAAGATTATGGACTGGGGACTTTTTTGTTGTTGCTTTTGGATGAAAAGTGATTCTTCCTTGGGCTATCTCAGCTGACACAACCAGACCCTTGTTCACTCCCCCCGTTTGGGCAGAGCAGTTGTGGCAGCCACCACACTGGCACCAGGCTTGGGGTGATGCCAGCACATGAAGTAAATCAAATAACACCCAAGGCTCAGCCATATCTCCTTCCCAGATCTCTGAATGTACTTTGCATGACATCCCTGGAGAAGGGAACATCTTTTGCAGAGATGTTCTCAGTACCCACATACACAGACAGTCTTCCCAAATCCTGCCTGGCATCACCAACAAGGAACTCACCATGCTAAACATCCTCTATAAATAAGTCCAAATTTTTGTGCCTTTTTTAAAGCCGCGCTTCCCATTCCAGACCTGGGCCAGACTGGAACAAGGGAGGCCACAGCATCACCAGTTCCAGCATGGGTGACAGCCCAGGGACACCACTGGAATTTACCCAAATGTCCAAAGCTTCATCCTTGGTCCCAAAGGCAGCTCAGGCCAGCAGTGACTCGGCTGTACTCACTCTTGACAGGCAGCCTCTCGTCGAGGGAGACCCCTTTGAGCTGCAGCAAGAGGCCAAGTGTTCCCTTCTGTTCTGACTCCAGGAAGTCCTTTGTACTGGGGTGGATGCGAGGAGCTGGCTGGGCCTGGTGGGCACTGCCCAAAGTGGGGTATCGGTTGGGAACCAGGTCCAGGAGGCTAGAGGTAAAATTCAGCTTCTGAGCATCTCCTTCTAGCCTCCCTCGACCTACAGAGAAACAAAAAGGAGAACCTTATCAGGAGATTATCTTATCTCACAGTTTTCTTTACCCACAGCCTACAAATGCTGAAGATCCCTCTCTCCACCTCTACCTTATGCTTTCCCATCTTTCAATCGACTGTACATTTCCCTTTTAGGATCACCACCTGAGAGGCAACAGAAGCACTTGCACAAGTGTGAATGGAGACTGTTGAGGACACCAAAGGATAAAGACATCAAACAGGCAAGCTATGTCATGCCAAAGCACAAACTCATGCACAGGCAACAAGCACCAAGGACTCACCTGAGAAGGGGTGTTTGTAATACTCTGGAGGGTCTGGAGGAACGGGTCCAGAAATCCAGGATGGCCCTTCACACATCCTGCCATACATCCCTCTGCCTCTGCCACAGAAACCAACCAGCACTGAGGACAGAAATGAACACTGAGCCACTGAAAAGCTGCATTTAATACATATATACATATAGGGGAACTTCTGATCTTTGTTAGAGAGCTTGCTCCCAGCTATAGAGATGACCACCCCAAGCTGGACTCCATGCAGGTGAGGTGAGGCATCCAGCAGCACTGTGGGGCTAATCAGCATTTTTACAAGCACTGAACCTGAAATGTCCATGGTTGCTGCAATATTGGTACCTTCAGTACAGAAAATCCTTCCTGGCTTTGTTCTCCCATGTGGAAACGTTTAGTGCAGACACACAAGCGGGAGCTGAGCTGCTCCAACCACCCTGTGTGCCTTCAGTGAACAGGAAACACAAGGTAGCTGGCCTTCATCTGACAGGTTTCAGCCTGGGATCTGAATTATTTTGCACTTGTGCTCCCTCTAAATGGCTCCTGGGGTTCAAACACAACCTGCCCAGAGGAAGCTAAAGCCCCGACCCCACATGGCTGTTTCCTTCCTGAGAACACACCTGTGCAGTCACCACCCCTGAGCAGGCTGGGGCTGAACCTCAAAAGATCTGAGACAAAACACTTCACTCCAAGACCATGTAGAGGCAGACATTGGATGTTTGTGGAAGAGCCCAGCTGGTTTCTTAGGTCTTGTGGAGAACAGAGTTCTTTGCTTAGAAAAACATTTTTCTCACTTCTAAAATACATTTCAATGCAGCACAGATCTGCAAGTCCCTGCCCTGGCCCTCACCAGTCCCTGCTGCCTCTCTCCTCCCCATGACAGGAGCAGCAAAGACCCTTCCAGCAGGAAGAGACAGGAGCAGCCAGCATCAATTTCCCTGCACTGCTCTCCAAGATCTCCTGGATAGCATTTTTATGCCTACAAGAAACCTGAGTGACTAGCTCCCTGCTCAGAACACAAGGCTGTAGGATGCCACTCCAGCAGGCACAGACTGCTGGTGACCTTTCAGCAGATGCCACAAGAGCCTCACTACCTCATCAGAGTCACATCGTGATTGTGACAGGCGCCAGGACAGCTTGGCCAGAGTCACTGCTGCAAGAGCTGGCGCTACAATCTATATGCCCTGACTCCCAAGGCAGTCATTTAAAGATTCCTGAGACAACTCTACGGGAAGAATCCCCTTCAGGATCCTCAGCATGCCAGCACTGACGGGATGCAGCATCTGCAGTTTAATTTATACACCAATAAATGATCAGTACAAGGCTGAGTGAGTCTGAGTCATAGCAACTAATGCACTGCAGTCTTCCTTGCTAAATCACCCCTGTTGACATGAGACCCATTAGCAAAACACTGTTATTCATCTCCCGGACACAGCAGCAAAGGCAATGTAAGCAATGCTGACTACTGCACACCAGCATGCATGTGCAGCCTGAACCCAGCTGCTCTGGAACAGCTATTTCTGAAAAGCAGGCACAGGCTCTCAGCTGGAGATAAAAGGACAGTGGATTGGTATTGTCTAATCTCCGTGATAATGGATCCAACTAAGCCAGAACAGGCTCTCCTATTCTAGAAAAAAAAGCCAAAGCTTTCACCATGAGATCACTCCAGAAAAGCTACTAGCCTTGAAACGCACATCTGATCTTGATCCGAACTCTCATTTCAAGCCAGTAATTTACACGCAAAATGACAGGCTGAAATCAAGACCTGTAACAGAGCAGACAATTACCGCGGGGGATCGGAGGTGGGGGATGGAAGGCTCATTTCATACCTTCACACAAGTCACATTTCACATCCCAACTGCACCCTGCCCTGCTGCAGGGAAATTGCAAATGACACCCACTCCCTGATCTGCAAGTCACATCACCTCTGCATTGGGATCTTGCAAGATCAGACAACATCATTACAATAGTAAGCATCTTGCTTATCTAGGTACCTACAGTGACCTCACCTACACTGGGCACAAGCCCCAGGATGAGTCTCCCAGCCCCAGGAAGCAGTCACCAACACTCAGGTACAAACCATTGGTAGAGACTTCCCAAGCTGCTGCTCTGTCCAGCCAACACGGACCTGTTTGGGGGACACAACTGATTGAACCTCATGGCTCACTTCTGCCAAGAGAGGATGTGTGGATGTGCTCTGCTGCTGCTCCCACCTACTTCATCTCCTAGGACAGCTCTGCAGTGCAAACGGTCCTGTCCTGAGTCAATTCCACTCACCACCCCTGCATCAAGCAAGCCACTTCTTTCATTGGATTAGTTTTCTGCCTGTTTAACCTTCTGTCCACAAGTAACCTGGCTTTTATCTCCACGGGGCGATCGGAGAAGCACTGGAGCAAGCACCAGGGAGCACAGCAGGAGCATGTGCTTATGAATGCAGAGGACGAGGGAACAGGGTCAGCCCTCTTCAGCAGTGACTCAATCACTGTCTGCAACCAGGAAAGCATCTTCCCTATCACATTAGAAACCTAAACATCACCAATACAGTATCCAACCTGCTGCCACCAGAGACACCGCTCAGTGCAGCCACAGGCAGTGAGACACAGGCAGGCTCTGCAAACCATGTAAACAGACAGATGTGTGCAACTCCTCCCTGTTCCTACCCACACCAGCCTGCAGGCTCACTAGGGAAGCAGCAACACTGCTCCCAGCCGCAGAGCAGCCCCAGCCCCACTCCCTACCCTGCACAGATCCAGGAGGCACAGAGGCAGCAGCCAGTGTAACCCACCGACTTTAGCATTGCTCACTCACCCCGGCTGAGCCCGGCAGGCTGCTCCCTTCCCTGCCAGGACCACAGTTTAATGCTGGCTTAGGAGCCAAGCAATGCAGGCTCCAGCCCTCCCTCCCCCAGTGTCCCTGTCAGTTTAATAATCATTAACTTGACTCTTTGTGCCCTTTGCTGCAGCTGATCAAGTGGTAAAAATGCTGCTTATTCCCCTGGTAAACCAAGACCTTTCAGAGCCTGTGAGAACAACCTTCCCTTTGTGGTTTGTTTTTGGCATCGTTGTTAAGTAAACTACAAAACATGGGCACACAGAAGGCTCAGGCAGGTGTGATTTGCAATGCTATACACACTGCATCTGACTTTGAAGCATTCTCTCTTCTTCATAGATGACATTTTCACTGTGCCTGGGTCTCTGGCCAGGAAGCTGCTAACACACACAGAGCTGACACCAGCACAGCTTCATGCCTTCATGAGCCAATCTCTGCAAAAAGCATGGGAAAAACCATCCCACATCTGCGATAATCTGCGATAAGCAGAGCAAGTCATCTGCAGCAAATCAAAAGGCTAATCTCTGTGCAGCTGGTCTTGCATGTCTGATTCCTTCCTCAACAGTTTTAGCTGAAATGGGAAGTCACATCAGGATAACTTCCATGCCTGAGGGCTGCACAAAAACAGGGGAGCACACGGATCTGTGACCATCCCTCCTATGGAACTGGGGGTCAGGGAATGAGGTCAATGTGCTGTGATCCTACACAGTGGTGTTAGTCCCTGCTGACTGCAATGGGAAAGATTAATATTCTCCTTATAATATTATTCCCCATACAGGTTCCTCCAGGTCTCACCAGCTCTTCCCCACCTGCCAGTCTCAAACACATTGTAAAAGGTTGCATATGAGTTTG